TGGGTTCAATATGGAGGAATCTTCTGATATTCGGAGTTAATTTTATTTTTGTGACTTTTCGTTTCTGTTTAATCAGCTGCACTTTTGGTAGCGATTCACGAGGTTGGAACGAGTTAGGCTGTAGGAAAGATTACAGGGAACCCTGCCGGCTCCGCCTGTCCTTGACCCAATGTGGAAAACATAGCTTTAGCTTAGGACAAAATAAATAAAACAAAAACAAAACAACCTTAAGGTATGAAGTACGGAAATTTCGGGAGTTGTCCAAATCAGCTCGCGTGACAATTAAATGGGTTCCCGGGCACTCAAGAATCCAGGGTAACTTGGAAGCCGACTCGGCCGCCAGGTCTGGCCTACGAATGCTGCCGAGCCCGGAAATGCATCCAGAATCCATCACTCTGGCATTTCTTTATGGCCAAATGAATCGTCTGCGGCAGGCGTTACTCGACGATTGGTGGAACGAAGCTTGCCCGCCCCGATATCGCAAGCTCGACCTGCTCATGCGACGAAGGAAACCACCTGAGCTGGGACTTTCGAGGTTCCTACTCCGAAATCTGATTGAAGCTCGTACGGGCCATGGCAATTTCGCGGCGCATCATCGCCGTTCCAACAATCTGGACGCTCTAATGGAGTGCGCCTGTGGGGAGGAGACCACTCCTACCCATTTTATTCACTGTCGACTACACGCTCACGTCACGCGTCGACTCAGAGGGAGATCGTCACATAGTGGCTTTATCCAAAAACTTCTCGGGCCAAAGTGTCACGAATTTTTCAAAATCTTTGAGAAGGAAACCTGCTGTTTTGGGTTGCCATCTACAAATTCGTCCTCTGATCTCATCGGGGACAATATAAATTAGTCATACAGATGATATGACAGGAAGGAAGACAAGTCGAGGAGATTTGTTTCCGAACTAGAGATTGGTAAATCTACAGAGCTGGATAGTTTTGTGGTTAGGAGTTTGGTTTTTAAAGGTTGAATTTTTGTACCAGTGCGAATTTTATACTAGCTACTATTTGTGTAGTGGTTCAAGCGGTGGGATCAAGTTTGGCTTATCAGGGATATGATCTTGGCTGTGAACATCGGTCTTTGACCCTTAGGGGATAACGGGTATGGCCTAGGACCTAAATTAATAAACAAACAAACAACCTTAAGGTCTCGTGTTGGCCAGCTCAGTCTACATAAACTACCCGACGTGCCGATGCCTTTCAATAAGCCCGACATGTTATAAATGAGCCAAGGCCTACCTGCCATGCACCCCGAACTATCGAAAGAAGCTAAAAGTACTCTCGAGCTGAGACTTTTGTATTCTAATACAATAGAGAAGATAGTTATATATATGAAAAGGAAAGTTATCCATCACCTAGACCAGAAGTCTTCTAAATTTAGCTCTAGCAAATACAGGCCAAGTGCATATAATTTGGGGTACTAGTTAGTCTTGTTGTTGCATGCTTCAAAAAAGCTCGTTTCATGAAGCCATGTACTCAAAGCTATGGCTCCTTCAGGAGAGTCTAGAATCCAGCGAATTCCCATGGTTGGGTGTTTATTTCCGCTGCAAAGGCGGGACCGACTCCGATTGAGTCGACAAAAGAAGAAGTGCTCGGGAGACTTTTCTAGCCCGCAAGCGCAGATTAGAAGAGCATCCGAGTGCTGAAAGCGGCGGTGGTAGTCAGCAAAGTCTCCATGGCCTGAGCGAGCTGCAAGAAGGCGACCAAGAGCGTAGCGGTTAAGGCTCTTGAGTTCGGGGGAGCTCCCAATATTACCGTTAATCCCCGGTTTTTGGTATCGTTCAGGAGCGTTTTTAGACCAGTACAGGGATACAGAGGCTTTGTATCGAGAGATTATGTCTCTCTTTGCTCGTGAGATTGTTGGAGATAGGGGGAGTGAAGGGGTTGCGCATGCTTGTTTAGCAAGTGCGTCAGCAGCTTCATTGCCCGGTATGCCGACATGTCCTGGACACCATCGCACCCTGACCACACCCGGTTCAGGAAAGTGGCTACGATCTCTCTCTATCCATTTAGTAGCAAGGTATTGAAAGTAAGCGATACGAGAGGAGGAGTGATCTGTCTTGCTGCCTCTTTATTTTCTGAAGGCCACTATCACGTGACCTGTATCATCTACAACCCAACATGTCACGCAGACTTCTTGCCCAACTGGTAACCACGAACAGTCAGATAAATATATGACTCATACGTTGTTTAACCCGTAATAATATTGTATATTTTAGGTCACAACAAGATGAACCTCTGATGTGGCACTCAAAGTGCCGACGCGCCAATGAATTTAAATCCGCGATAAACTCGCGGAATGAATTTAGTAAGTGTTGTGGAAGGCAATTTCCACTAGTTGCGTCATTAAGGACGCACGCAATATTTTGAAACAAAAGAATGGCCTCTTGATTCCTGGTATCAGCGGCGGTAGTTGACAGTTGCGATTCCGTTAACGACTCCCCTCCACCCGGTTGATGGAGTTAGGGAGAGGGGAATGGCGATTAGAAGGAGAACGGGGGGGGGGAAGAGTATTTATGTTGAGTGCCTGGGGGAACTTGGTGTTGCGCTACGGTTATTTTAGGTTTACCTGAATTTACTCATAACATGACTCGGGTCGGAGAAGTTAATGCTGATACGTGATGCGTATCAAGGAAAATATCTTTTTGTTCGGATTTTACATAACTCATACTTTGAATTGGGTTTACATTTATGTTTCTGATGATATTCTCATCTTATCTGTCCAGAGCACGGTTTGGTATGTTTCGGTGGTAGCATTATTGCCAGCGAGTTATCTAGTAGGGTTTCATATGAGGAAAATTATGTATTTTAGATACTCGATAGCCAGAGAATAGAGAGACAACCCTTCGATGATTTGTTGCCTTCTACTCCCATTTCCAAAATAGTCCAACACTTGGTGGTTTGCCAGATTTTGTAGATAGTTTTTTGACTACAGCACTTTTGAGGTATTAGACCAAGTGAACCCCGTTGTACCAATAACAGCCACATTTATCGCGGTGTAAGCTTACATAAATGACAAAGACATGCCTGGATAAATATAGGGTTTGAATTTCCCTTTGATGGGTACTTACGGAGGAGGATTGGCTGTTTGTGTAAGCAAGCATACCTTACAGTGGTGTTTGCGAATGAAATACAGAGTATAAGTGTCTCTAACGTCAAAAGAGTCATCCAACATGTTTACATAGCACTTATCATGTGTCAAAGCTAGATAGCTGAATACACATTAAGTAATTAAAAAAAAGATCGTTATACTGTGGCTTGGGCTATATGTCACTTACACCTTTTTTTTGCATGTCGCTTACACCTGTACTTATAGAGCATAACTCTCACTCTTTTAGTCTACTTATTCTTTCATTCCAGAAATAATGTACCATTTTAATTGCGCAATGTTTCCAACATTAACGCCTAGCGATGATCAATTTTCCGAAAGGAGGGGGGCACCTTAAAGAAGGTGAAATAAGCCTTAGAGCACTTGGCTTTTGCGGTATGCTTTGAAAACTTCATATTGTAAAATTCGCATGATTTCTATTTTCTACTTTACGAGCAGGTTTGTATATATAAATAATATTTAGTCTCAATTGCTATAACACCCTTACTGCCAACTGCGCGCATTCCAAACTAGAGTCGTTGAGATTCGTCGTATCTCCACCTAACGCATACCACTTTCCAGTTAATGGTTGGCACTTCCAACTTCATTGTTACCCATTGAGCTTAGAGCGTTATCACGAGGAATTCTCCTTACATCATTTAAAAGTTCGACGGATATTATTGTATCACAGTACTTCATGCAAGAGGAGTGATAGATAGCAGTTTGACCTGAGGCACTCGTAGTCAAGTACCATGAATAAGTTGATACAAGATCGGGAGGTCGCAAAGGTAAGGTTTAGCCGGGCGTGGATAAGGAGGTTGATGATCTGGGTTGTTTATGACTGTCGTGTCTTATAGGGTGCCTATATGTAACCGCAGGGCGGAACATGTCCATTCATTTGTGCACGAAGGATTTTATGTGAGAGCCAGCCCCTTCAATAAAATTCAGAACTCGTACGAGAAATAGATGATGTCCTAATAAATAGAATGTGGAATTTCTGGTATCGGATTACACGACTTACTTGGTTATGAGCCGTACACTGTCTGGACAACAGACGCGTCAGTCAGTATTCACCGATTATTATAAGCGAAGGTTCGTAGAGTCGATTTGTCAAGTGAAGGAGTAGTCATACTTCGATGGCTCAGCTCATTGACAAATTACTTCTTAGTTTTACGAGAAAATGAGGCATGTTTATAATAGATAGATTAGTGAACCATAGTCTGGTAGATGGGGACTTCTATAAGACCCAACCCATATCACCACTGTGGGATATCAATTCAATGCCGATTCATCTACGCCTTATATTTGCTGTGCAGTGTCTCTTTTCAAGTTATACAAGTGATCAGAGTACGTATATTTGACAGAACTCGGTGTGAAACTTCTAGATCGAAGTAGCTCGGATCTTCAGCGGCCCATTGGACTAGGAGTGGATGTCGTGAATTGGCCATCATAGACGCGATGATCAAATCAGGTAGTAAGCTTATCCTGATCAATCTAGCTGAAAGAAGAGTGATCAATACATAGATAAAAGTAGGACTTGTAGTATATATGCGACGTGATATTCTGGCAACATGGCAGAGACATTTGATAACCGGCTTCTTGGAGCGTGAAGATCTCACGAGCTGTGCGCGGTGAGGAAATTATTAATCATCAGATGGGTCACAGGTACCCATGGATATACCAAAATGAGAGGTAAAACTCGTTCAGATGGAAGCAAATTTTAATTTAAATCTACTTCTTACAATTTAGAGATACAAAAACCTCTGAGCGGTACCAGAAAAATCAAAGTAATATCCTGTGTAATGATGACATGTGAAAATATGAAATAAAATCTTTGGGTTACCGTGTTCAACCAGAGACGAGGTATATATGCGAGAAAGCATATACCCTCGGCAACATTTGTCATTGCCTAACAAACTTGTTGGACACAAGATGTCTTCTGTTGAGAAAAGTGATCGTGAGTATTTATGGGCATTAAAGAGGAGAGTGGTCTCTCCTTGCATTGATTGTATTGCCCGCTCTTGGTTATTTCCACCACACTCACTACAACGCAAGATGTGGTCATCAAAATTGAGGTTGAAGGTTCAACCATGCGTACTATTTTGATCATCAGTAGATTTTTAGAGGATTGTAACAGTGAATAGCTTACCATCGTCATGTATCACATTTTGTCCGTGTATCGGGAACTGAAGTAACACTTCACCTGACTTGTGCTGGTTGTGAGGAATATGAAATTCGGATTCACTGTGGGAAGGCTTTCCATGTTTGGACTTGATTTGTACGTTCGTTTCATGGCCATATTTTTCGTGCTCAGGCCTCTTGTGTTCGTTTGATACAAAATAAGTTTCGTGCTCGGGTATTTTGTGTTCGTTTGATACATAATAAGTTTCGTGTTCGTTAAAATGCTTGCTGTGAGATTTGTGATCATTGTCGGTATGGTGATCAATTGAAACATAGTGAACATTGTTAGAACCCGGATGAGCATGTGTTTTTTGATGCTTATCATGGTGTAAATTATGACCGACCTCATCGGCGATGATTCCTGTGAACATTCGAGGAAATTCTGGCCTCACTTCAACGCATTCTGTGCAAGCATCAAGTAAGTTCTGCTGGTGCAAGAGATGACAAGCTCTGAGAGCTGTTTCTTGAATGTCACTCTCCGTGAATACTTGCGAGCTGGATGCACAAATTTGGCCACCGGCATTGGATTCATCAGCCTGATCGAAGTGTCGTTTGTTGAATTGAGATGTGGCGGTGTCAACTGGTAGACTGAGAGATAGAGCACATGAAATGAAGAGTGAAGAGGTAATAAGCCCTTGCATGTTGACGAAAGATAGAATAAAAGAGAGCGTCCTTAAGTTGATATTCAGTGAGTGAGTGAGAAGTAAGGATAGAAGTAAGTATAGATGAAAATGATAGTGATAGATATGAGAATGATAGAGAGAAAAAAGGTCTTCTTTAATAGTTACGACTTCGATCTTATCTACACGTTAATCGTCTTAACCGTTACCGTCATCATCTCTTTCCTCGCCTCTTACCTCGGTATCCGTCGTCTCCGTAATGCGAGCGATATCAATATCCTCTATTCGCATCCTACCCAATTGAATCTTTACCCACCATGGAGATAATTTCCGACGTCCACTAAGAAGCACTCAGTTTAACTTTTTCCCGGTCATAAACATCCACCAAATGTACTTGAGTCAATAAAGCATCCTTGGCACTTCAATAAAAACTTGTTGCTGATGACGCGTCCCTAACCTAGTTTAACCTTGAATTCTGTACTAGCCGTCTTTGGCAGCTTTCAGTCGGCTTCAGGACTGAAGGAATGAGTTTGTGAAATGTGCTTCCGTACCGTGTCTATCCGTTTGACCGATTGTCATATGTCTTGCTGGAAGGATTAGTGGTCTCAGGGAATTTTAATTCTTAAAGCAGAAGCCTGAGCCCTTTAGATCCACATCAGCTATGATGAGGGTTCAAGACTTCCCACCCTCCGTGACATCCCGCACAGTTACGAGATTAAATCCATGCCCTTGACAAGCGCTTGATCAGTTACTGGCGCTTAAAAAATAATCCCTTAGGCCACAATATTGCTATCATCGTTCTCGGCGGTGTAAGCTGTAGAGAAGATTTTTAGTGGTAGCCAAACTTTTTTAGTTGGTGCCTCTTGAAGCAGAGCAGTTGAGACAGGCATGGTAAGATGATCTCAATGGTGCAATAGATTTACCCTAGCGGTAGCCACAAGTAAATCATCCGAATTGTCCACTGCACAATATTATTAGTAACCACATGGTGATAATCCTATCATACCTCCCTGTATTTGCTTGGCCTTGGCAAATGCAACGTGCGCATGCCCTTGTGGTCGTGTTGCTGACTTGAGTCACGTCTTGCATTGGCAGCAAAGTGGCATAATAAAGTGATTTGGATGAAGCCCTGAAACTTATCTACAGCGGTAGACACTATTTTTATCCATACATGGTCAGATAATTTAGTCATACGAACTAAGTCTATTGGGTCAGCCTCCGCTTCTCTAGTAGAATTAGGTGGAATTTGAAATTACAATGCCCGATATAGGTTTATGGCAGCAGCTCTGGAGCCTGAACGAAAGGGGTACCCTAGAATCTTGTGATGATTGTTGGTGGGTCTATCATAATAATTTACAAAGGTCGTCCTGTCAAATGCAAAGGTCCGGGTGGAAGATGCAGACTGGACACCTATCCGCGGTGTCCTCTACGAACCTAGTAACGAATTATTCCAGAGCTAAGTTCAGTCAACACTCCTGATACCGAAGAAGTTGGCCCACGAGGCAATAATTCATAACTCTGTACCAAATCATTCTCCCTCTTCCTATAAGATCGATTCACACCGAATCATTGTTAATCGATATGATCCTGTACATTCTTATTTCAATAACCACACCCCTTATCAAATCAGTCTCTAGACTCAAAAGGCCTATATTTACACGCTCAGAGGAGTGCGGATACCTATCGGAGGAAACAAATATGGGAGTTAGATCTTTGATATCGATGTATACGAGACCAATAGAAGTAGGCAAGATGATATAGACCTTGGATACTATGTCAAACGAGGTGAAATTATTTAATCTAAGCTCGGAGTTTCACAAATTGAGCTTTGTGCGCACCAAGACTTGCATTGCGAGAGTGCAGACGGCACCCTAAACACCAGCATGGTTGGATGGTGCAGTGGAACATCGCCTTGGCCGGTCTTCCAAGTAGAGTCCGGATAGCTTGGACACATATCCCACTTGAGACAGGACGTCGCTGATATGGATCCGGCAATACACAACCATATTTCTCGCGGCACTGGTATGCATGGATGACGAAGGCATGCTCGAATTATCAAGGGACTCGAAACGTTTCTTTGGTGTTTATTCACGAAAGTGGGTCGGCTATTTATGTAAGCAAGCTTAACCCATGGTGGTATTTGTTACTGAATTTCGGATTATAAGTGCTTCCAACGACTATTGTTTGTTTTTTTATCATTTAACGCCGTGCCAGCTCGAAAAACAACCAATTTTTTGAAATTCGAAATTTCGAATCTTCACATTTTCCCCCTCTCCCCCCCTCTCGCGCTCGTCGCATTCTATCAAAAAATTGTGATCGAGTCACTGGCATTTTCACTTTGCCACCTGTTCGAAAAAAGCGTCCCAACGCCAAGTTGGACAACACGAGAGTCCGCCCGAGGGCTCTCGAAAAACTACCTGACCTTGCCCAGTCTCCGAAATGCGTGGAGATGAGCAAGGCCTCTACTAAAGGGAAGGAAAAAGCCCTCCCCGTCGACATTGAGCCCGATACTGACATGATCGGGTCAGTCGAAATTGTTGAGGAAATTCCTCAACGAGTTTCCGTCGCCCACGGGATTGGAGAATCATCCAAACCACCTCCGACCGTGTCAAAACCGTCGGAAAACGCTGCACCCTTAGCAGCGTCAACATCAACGTCGCAGCCAAAAGCTGCCACGAAAGCAGAGTGTCCCTGTTAAGTGACTAGAGATCTAGTATAGAGATATGACGTTGGATAAGGATACCCACGGAGGTTTTGCGTTATGGAAGCACCGATGACATTTTCATCACTACTAGCTTAAATCTCATTCTATATGTAATTTTTAGACATAGCTTTGCTCTATAGCTTTATTACCTTTTAAACCTTGAGTTCTTGCTTGCCATAATCAGCGTGTCATGGCAATAGTGTCGGGAGCCCTTAGGGGAGGGTTCTCCGGGAGAGGAGGAGGGACAGGTAGGATGGAGGCCCTAGAATAGAGTAGTATAGAATTGAATTTAAGTCCCTACTAAATCTATGACTATGAAGACTACTGTTTTGTAAAGATGGGCAGCCTAACGTTTCTCAATGTATGCCGTGCCCCAGGCACTAGTGGAACCTTGGAGCCCCTACTCCAGTGGAAAATTAGAGGTCTAGAGGTTGTTGAAGGCAATTTCATTTCTGTGTCACAGCATTGGCAACCGCTAGCAACAAATCAGTATGGCAATGGTAACCAGATTTTGCAAATGAAATCTGAGGCATGAGTAATCTTCTTGTAAATTGAGTCATCTTTTTTGTACTTTTCTTTGATATTGTGTCATAGCTAGATAGCTGCATACGCAATTAAAATCTGATGCAAAAAAAAAAGGTAACCAGATTATAGAATGGGCAACAGCCCACGACATGGACTTAGTCAGCACTGTCGGAGAGCCAACGCACAGGGATGGGAACGTCCTAGATCTAACGTGGAGCAACTCGGGCGCGATAGCATTAGTGTCCAACCGCTACCACTGTACCTTAGATCACTCGACCATCGAAGGTACCGTGTTTAACCCTACAGTGTCAGATCTCTCTGGAATTGTAAAGAACATTCGTGTCAGCGACGCCAACTAGAAGGAATTTAGCCCATGCGTTAGCCAATGGACCAAATCTGGCCCTCTCGACAATGTCGCCAACGTCGAAATCTTCACAAATGATCTCCTACAAGCACTTGGAGATGCGCTCAAGATTGCAGGGAAATTCCCAGCCATCGAAAGCAGAAGAACTGAACCGTGGTGGACCGATGGATGTTGCACAGAATGGCAAGAGTACAAGGCAGCGAGAGACAACCCTGACCTCGCGAAAGAGGTCCACAAGAGCTTTAGAGCTGTGGTACGAAAAGCCAAGCGAGAGTACTGGAAGAGGCAAGTAGAGACTGTGACTAATGACGCACAGGTATTCAAGCTCATGATGTGGGCTAAACCTCGACCAGCTGCTGAGCTCCCTCTGCAGATTGACAAAAACCAGTGGCTTTTTAACCGGCGAGAGCGAGCTAGTGCGCTACGAGACATTCTCTTGGCTAGGTTTAGCGGCGAGAACGACATCTCTATCTGGGAGAATGGACAGGAAGAGCGTATTCCATGGGATACGGAATTATCACTGGACGATGTGACAAGCGCCACTGTCTCTATCAACGACACGGCACCGGGAGCGGACAAGATAATGGTACGGTTACTGAAAGCCTGTTGGTCCCATCTAGGACCTCTCGTGAAAGATCTTTAGCAGGCCTGTCTGAAAATCGGCTACTTTCCCACGGCCTTCAGGGTGGCAGAAGTTGTGCTTCTTCCAAAGCCGGGTAGAAATCTGTCAACTGCCAAGGGTTGGCGACCAATCTCGCTGTTGTCAAGTTTAGGTAAAGGACTTGAGCGTCTAGTTGGTAAGAGAATGGCATGGCTGACAATAAGTCACCAAGTTGTTTACCCACAACTATTCGGCTCCGTACCAGGACGATCTGCAGTCGACCTTGCATCCTGTGTAATCCATGATGCTGAGGCGGCCATGAGAAGTGGTAAGTGTGCGGCTATGGTCACACTCGACATTCAAGGTGCATTTGATGCAGTCCTTCAGAACCGATTGCTCAAAATCCTTCGAGAACAAGGCTGGCCATGATCCATGTGCCGGTTTATTCAGACATTTCTTTGCCAACAAAAGATTCAGGTCAAATACTGCGGTGGAATCACAGAAGAGAAGATACTGGAATGCGGAGTACCTCAGGGCTCGCCACTATCGCCACTTCTTTTCATGCTCTACATCGCTGTGCTTTTTGAGGATCACGGTTTAACGAGTAGGTTTGGTTATGCTGACAATGTAGCTATTGTCAGAATTGGAAACACCGCGGCGGATGCTATCTCCGCAGCTCAAGACGACCTCGACAGCCTTATCCTTCTCGCAAGACAACAAAAGATCGATCTTGAACCAGCAAAGTCAGAACTTCTAGTGATCGGAGGAAGGCCTAGAAAGAAAATAAACGCGGCTAATCTTTCCATCTTGGTGGAAGATCGCCGGAT